ACTTCCTCGTTGTTGGTACCATTCAGATGATTCCTGGTCTGAGTACTGTCGGAAGATGGACCACTATCGCACCTCTGGGCGTATTCGTCGCATTCAGCATGGCCAAGGAAGGATGGGATGATTATAGGCGTTATCGACTTGATCGCGTGGAAAATCGAAGTGAGACTTGGGTTTTGACGGATGGAACTGGGGAAAAAGGCCGTGTTAGACACGCTGAGAAGATGAGGAGGAAAAAGGAAAAGGCGTCTGAGAGTGGTGAAGAGCATATGCTCGATGATCTCGAGTCAGGCACCACAGGTACCGCCAAATTGGGTGGAAAGGGAGATTGGACTTCGGTACAATGGCAGCATGTTCGTGTTGGCGATGTCATTCGGTTGCGTCGAGATGACCCTGTTCCTGCGGATATTGTGCTTTTGCATGCTACCGGTCCTAATGGCATTGCGTACATCGACACCATGGCTCTTGATGGTGAGACGAACCTCAAGAGCAAACAGGCCTGTCCCTTGCTCGCCGAGCGATGCAACACTCTCGAAGGACTTCGTGCGACACAAGCTACTGTCATCTCTGAAAACCCCAACCTGGACCTTTACAGCTACGATGGTCGAGCAACAGTCGACGGCGAAACTCTACCACTGTCCATGAACAATGTCGTTTACCGTGGATCTACTCTCCGGAATACGGCTGAGGCCCTCGGTATCATCGTGAACACAGGCGAGGAGTGCAAGATCCGAATGAACGCCAACAAGAATGTCCGCGCCAAGAAACCCGCTATGCAATCAGTTATCAACAGGATGATCATGGTCCAAATCTTCATCGTTCTCATGCTCACAATGGGTCTAACTATTGGTTACTACCTGTGGAAAGATCGAACTGAGGATTTCGCTTGGTACATCAGGCGATCTGGTGTCTATAATGGCAGCGTCCCTTTTAAGGAAATCTTCTTTGGGTTTATTATTATGTTCAACACGCTGATTCCCTTGTCGCTGTACATCAGTCTTGAAATTATCAAGCTGGGACAGCTATACTTGCTTCATGATGCGGATATGTATGATCCAATATCTGATACGCCCATGGTTGCGAATACAACCACTATCCTCGAGAATCTGGGCCAAGTCAGCTATGTCTTTTCTGACAAGACGGGCACTCTAACAGAGAACATCATGCGCTTTCGCAAAATGTCGGTCGCTGGTGTTGCTTGTCTGCATGATATGGACGTGCAGAGAGACCAGGAGGAGATGCGCCGACGAATCGAAGAGTCGGAACGACCAAAAAAGGGTAAAAGTAAGGCAAGCTTCTCTGCGGCAAAGAATACAGGCCATGTCAAGACTCTCGACGGAAACGATGATACAAGTGGAAGCGGACCTCGACCAGAGCCTATTCGAACCATGTCGACAAGATCTGCAAGCCATTGGCAATCCACAGTCAACACAGCTGAGAACGCCGACATGAAGACAGAAGATCTCCTTGATTACATTCAAAGGAAGCCCAACACTGCTTTCTCTCGAAAGGCAAAGCACTTTTTGCTATGTATTGCTCTCTGCCACACTTGTCTTCCTGAGAGAACTGATGATGGCGACATCACATTCCAAGCTGCCTCGCCTGATGAACTTGCTCTTGTCGAAGCTGCCAAAGATCTGGGATATCTGGTCATTGATCGGCCTGCACAAGCTATCAAGTTGGAGGCCCGGGATGCAGATGGTTCTCTGTACACCGAGACGTATCAAGTGCTGGATGTGATCGAGTTCAGCAGTAAAAGGAAGAGAATGTCGATCATCATTCGCATGCCTGATGGACGTATTTGCATCTTTTGCAAGGGCGCTGACAATGTCATCATGCAGCGTCTGAAGTTGAGTAATCTCGCCGAAGAAACTGCCAAGAATATCGGTCGTCGGGCAAGTCAGCGACGAGCTTCTCGGCAGGACCAAGCTTTGCAGCGGATCAACTCTCAAAAGAGCGTCAGTCCTTATGGCAGCCCCTACGGAAGTCCCCGTAATAGCTTTGGTTTATCCAGAGCTGAATCGTCTAATCGAGAAGGTCTTAGATTGAGCTTAGGACGACGCTCCACTGATCTGAAGCGTCTGTCACAACAGCTTGCCCGATCACCTCGCACTTCAACCGAGATGATGAGCCCCCGACAGAGTCTTGCCCAAATGCCCTCATTCGACGATGCTGAGCGCAAGATTGACGAATTAATGGCTGCGAATGAAGGCGCCGTGTTTGAGAAGTGCTTCCAACACGTCGATGATTTCGCCAGCGAGGGTCTTCGAACTCTTATGTATGCTTACCGTTACATTGACGAGGACTCTTATCGCACTTGGAAAGCAAAGTATAGAGAAGCCGAGACAAGCTTGGTCGATCGTCAGGAACGCATCGAAGCCGCTGGAGAGCTTATTGAGCAGAGGTTCGAGCTTGCTGGAGCGACAGCAATCGAAGACAAGCTTCAGGAGGGAGTCCCAGACACCATTGACAAGTTGCGCCGAGCCAACATCAAAGTCTGGATGCTTACGGGTGACAAGCGAGAGACGGCTATTAACATTGGTCATTCTGCTCGTGTATGTAAACCTTGGTCAGAGGTTTACGTTCTTGATGCGGCTTTGGGCGAACTGAAAGAGACGATTAAAGCGACTCTCAATGATGTTAGCCGTGGCATGGTTCCGCACTCTGTTGTTGTTGTCGATGGACAGACACTCGCCAAGATCGACGAAGATGATGAGCTATCTCTTCTTTTCTACGACCTTGTTGTACGTGCTGACTCTGTCATCTGCTGTCGAGCTTCTCCCTCTCAAAAGTCCAACCTCGTTCGCTCGATTCGAAGATATGTGCCTAAGAGCATGACTCTGGCAATCGGAGATGGTGCGAACGATATCGGTATGATCCAGGCTTCTCATGTTGGCATCGGTATCTCTGGTCGCGAGGGTCTACAGGCTGCTCGAATTTCAGACTACTCGATTGCTCAATTCCGATTCCTTCAGAAGCTGCTCTTTGTTCATGGCCGGTGGAACTACATGAGGACTGGCAAGTATGTGCTTGCAACTTTCTGGAAGGAAATCCTGTTCTTCATTGTACAAGCTCATTACCAGCGCTATAACGGATATTCTGGCACTTCACTGTACGAATCATGGAGTTTGACCGTCTTCAACAGTGCCTTTACGTCACTTCCTGTTATTCTTCTCGGTATTTTCGAGAAGGATCTCCGTGCAGAGACGTTGATGAAGGTGCCAGAATTGTACACTTTTGGACAGAGAAACCTCGGATTCAGATTCTCGCAGTACTTTGCATGGATGTTCATGGGTGTTGCGGGGAGTTTTGTGATCTGGTACTTTACCTGGTGCGTTTACGACAAGATGTTTTATGATCGGGATAACAGTATCTTTGCGATGGGCATGGTGAGTTTCACTGTTGCTGTCATCTTCATCAACATCAAGCTCTTGTAAGTTCTCCAATGTGCGTTTTTGAGCTGTACTGACTGTTGCAGGATCCTTGAAGTGCACACCAAAACTCTTGTGACCTTTGGTGGCTGTCTGATATCTGTCGCTGGCTGGTTCTTGTGGATGCTGGCCTTATCAGGTATCAAACCCAAGAGTTTTGGCCCTTATATTGTCCGGGACACTTTTATTGATAACTTTGGCCGCACACTACAATGGTGGACGCTCGTGTTGCTTGAGCTTGTCGTGCTCATTGTGATCGATCTGGTTGTTCAAGCTGTTCGACGAGTCTACTTCCCCGGAGACCAGGATCTGATGCAACGAATTGAGAAAGATGGCAATGTAGACAAAGTCTTTGGAGATGGCAAAGACGTTGAAGAAGGGGACGGTGAAGCAGAGAGAATTCTCTCAAACCAGCCAACGCCAGGTGTTGACAGAGTACAAGACAGGAGGCATCGCGGGAGCCACGATGATTATCAACCGAGGTTCACAGCGACAGCAGAAGAGAGGGAGAACCCAATGGAGCAATGGCGGGGATGAAGGAGTTTCTTATGTTTAGGTATATCCACGGATGATCAAGGTGCCTCTTACGGGAATGGCTGGACTACAGGCGCTGGAGTTGGGATGGGATTGCGAATTGGATAGTTATTGTGAGCGTTCGTATGACGTATTATTGCATTGTTATAGTGTATCAGATGAATGAATGAATGAATGAATACCGCAATATCGCACATTACCAAGGCTTGCTATATTTGCTATCTCGATGTTGTACAGGGCTCCCCGCTTCGGTAAAAGTCTCCCCGATTCCCCGGACTTATCAACTGGTCCTTGTTACACGCTACGGTGAGCTTCCGTCATCATCAATCCATTCCGAGTCTTCCATTCCGGCCGCTAGAATTAAGGTCATCGGTGTGATTACCGAAGCACGTGGAGAAAGATCAACAGTGACCTCGGCGCAAGGTAAGATATCTACCGTGCCTCTTTAATGCTACGTCCCCAAATCCCAGAGAATGTGAGAACTCACTCACAGTCATTCAGTCTCTGTTTTTAATTTATTCGCCGTAAAAAAATATCGAAATGGGCGCTGCTTGTCCTCCGGCGACACAACCGCCGCCGCTCAAACCTGTTCCTTGCGCTTCTTCGCTACACCCGGCATTTTTCACAGACAGGTTCCGAAGAGCGCCGACTTCCTTGACTACGGGATTGGTTGCTAGTCCTGTGACGCTGGGATATGTTTATCAGGAAAGTGAGAGGAGAAAACCGAAGCTATGAGACTCTAAATGGAGGATCGGAGACAAAACCGACGATTTATTTGCACATTCGGGTGAAGATAACCCAGCGACAAAGGATGAGACGCCAAGTGTTTGGAGCGGTGGATTACGACACTTTTACACGATTAGAATAACATTGAGAGATGGATTGATATTGGGGTATCAGTTTGATTGAAAGAGGACTTTGTTGCATAATTATACCCTGTTGCCCGGGTTGTCCGTCCCATCTGTTCGCCTAGGAAATACACAGTTTCGACAAGAAGGAAATATTAAAAGGAATGGCTCCGCGCTCACAAGCCCTACCTTAACCAGACCCATTCTTGATAGCAATCACAATAGCCATGATGATGAGGAATACTACGAGTGCCAAGAGCGCCATGAGCTTGACGTTCTTCCACCACATCTTGCGCTTGAGGCCACGACTGCGCACGCGGAACTCTCGTGCGCTACCGCCAAGACGGTCCGTCTTATCAACCAGCAAGTCCAGTCTTTCTCCGCGCTCAAGAAGACTCTCAATATTCTTGGTCATAATCCCCCTAACATCGTCGATCTCGCGCTTGGCGTTTCCGATGGCATCGTCGCGACCTCCACTTGTAGTACCGTACTCGATCATAAGAGACTTGAGTTCCGAGTTGAACGATGCTGCGCCGTAGTTGGGCATGTCGGAGAAGTCAGTGCTCTCGGGAAATTGCTGCAGGAAGCGCTTGCGGATTTCGAAGAGATAACCGAATGGCACGCGACGGCCAAGGGATGAGTCGGCGATGACGAGGAATATTAGACCGCCTGCGGAAGGGTAATCGCGATGTTCAGAGGGAGATTCGGAGACATAGTGGATTTGGTGTTGGCCGTGAGTGTAGGTGAGCTTTTGAGGGTTTGTGTGCTCGATCTTGGGGAGGATGAGGGAGGCGAGGGATGAGGTTTGGGAGGAGGCCGATGTTGTGCATTCTGAGAGGATCGTAGTATTATGCGCGATACAGGAACTGTAGATTGTTAGCTGTGTTTGTCAATATTGATGATGATTGACGCACTAGAGTAGGGGAGTCGCAGGAGTCGATGACGACGCCATGATGGGCTGAGTCTGCGTCCGAGTGTTGATGAAGTGATTGAGTGGTGTTGAGGATGAAGGCGATTCAAGATGGATCAACAAGACGAGGCTGAAGAAAGAAATAGAAGCAAGGTAACCAAGATAATCAACCCAAGTCAAGCCAAGTCAGAGTCAAGTAACAAGTCTACAATGACGACTCTGGTCGCAGCGCCTCAGCGTCATTCCCCACCCTCATGCGAACCCACGGAGGCCGGCGGAACGAATCTCCGTCTCATGGGAATTTTTTGAGACGGGTTTTCATATGATGGCAAGACTTGGTCGCATTCGCCCTCGTGCAAAGACAGGGTCATTTCACGATTGTTTTTTTTTCTTTTTGAAGGGGAGCATGTTTGGCTCACTCTTTGTGTTCAAATTATGAGTTTTTCACTCCGGGCTGGAGCTTTACGAGCTCCTATTGTTCCGGTGACGAGAAGGACAATATCAACTTCACCAAGACTTTCAAGAGTGCCACTGGCAGCTAAGAGGAAACATGGACTGAACAAGGTTGAAGCCAGAAAGACTGGGGAGAAAAAGTCCGAATTTTCTCTAAAGCCAGTATGTTCTTATTTTCTTATTTTAGAGATGATACTTACCAATCTTAGGTGACCAAAACTGATGAGAAGAATGATATGAAGAGAATGAGATTCGGCATGGATAAAAAGTCAAGTGGTCGACATGGAATGTTCCGATCAACTGTTTTGATGAAGTTTCAAGATGTCATGAAAAATGCTAGCAAATCAGCCGTGTCTGCTGCGGGTGTAGGAGAGGATGAGCTTCATCAGCAAGCTTCGATGTTTATGAAGGTGCTAGACTCAGCGTTCGACATGGCCGAGCAGAACATCACCGATCGAGTCAAGAACCCCCTGTTCTGGAATCTCCGCGACGCTTTCATCTTGAAGGATATCAAGGGTCTCACAAACGAGATTCAGTACTCTTTTCAATCATTTCTCATTCGACAGCGCTTCTCAAAGGGCCTGGAGGAGAGTCACAAGCGACTTTTGGACTTTCGGTTTCCTTACGAGTGGTTCCCTGCGACGAGAGCCATGCAGCGCACGATCCATGTTCACGTTGGACCGACGAATTCCGGAAAGACGTACAGAGCCTTGAAAGCGTTAGAGAATTCGAAGCGAGGAGTTTATGCGGGGCCTTTGCGTTTGCTAGCAAACGAGGTTTATCAGAGACTCAAGGCCAAGGGATTGCCGTGTGCGCTGTTGACGGGAGAGGAAGTTCGTTTGCCGGAAGATACGGATACATACTTCACGAGCTGTACGGTCGAAATGGTTCCCTTCAATGAGCGGTATGATGTTGCTGTCATTGATGAGATCCAGATGCTGGCCGATCCGGATCGTGGCAGCGCTTGGACATCTGCGCTGTTGGGTGTTCAAGCGAAGGAGGTTCATCTTTGTGGTGAGGATCGAACTGTGAGTCTGATCCAGAGTATTTGCGCAGGTATCGGCGATAAGTGTATCGTGCACCGATATGATCGTCTAAGTCCTCTGGAAACCATGGATGAGGCGCTGGATGGTGATTACAGTCGTCTTGAAAAGGGAGATGCGGTTGTCGCATTCAGTCGTCTAAACTTGCACGCCTTGAAACGAACGATCGAGAAGAAGACTGGACGGCGATGTGCGATTATTTACGGATCTTTACCACCTGAAGTGCGCGTTCAGCAAGCAGCGCTCTTCAATGACCCTGACAACGATTACGACTTTATTGTTGCCAGTGACGCTATCGGCATGGGTCTGAACCTGGAGATTCGACGAGTTATTCTTGAAGCAGTCGCCAAATTTGACGGAAGTCATAACAGAATGCTCACGTACCCTGAGTTGAAGCAGATTGGTGGTCGCGCTGGACGATATCGAACTGTTCGCAACGCCGCCGAAGCAGTGACAAATGCCGACGTTGCTAGTGGGGAGGAGAAAAAGGTTGGCTATGTCACAACAATGGACAGCCAAGATCTCAGGTCGGTTCATCGAGCTTTTGACGCCAATGTCGATGATATCGAGGCTGCGTACATTTCACCCCCGGCTGCCGCTATCGAGCGCTTCTCAACATACTTCCCCAAGGGAACACCTCTGTCGTTCATCCTCATGCGCATTCGAGAGCTGGCGTCTGTAAGCAAGCAGTACAGAATCCACATCTCTCCAGATAAGCTAGAGATTGCCGACCACGTCCAGGACATCCCTCTGACGATCTATGATCGACTTTTGTTCACCAACTTGCCCGTGAATACACGAGCTCAGAACGCAATATCTGTTCTTCGAGCCCTCGCCAGGATCGTCGCTAACAGCGAAGACGGCACACTTCTCAAGATTAAAGAAATTCCCCTGGAGAACCTTGATATCGACTTTAAGACGTTCAAGGGCACGTCGATGGAGTATCTCCACAGACTTGAATCACTACATGCTGCTATCAACCAGTATATCTGGCTATCCTATCGCTTCAGCGGCATGTTCCGCGATCAGAAGCTAGCATTCCACGTCCGGTCCCTCGTTGAAGAAAAGTTGATCGATACACTGGAGAGGCTTGACTTTACAGAAACTGACCTCAAGGGCTTCCGATCGAGGAACAGAAAGGAAGCGCGCAAGACAACAACATCGCGTGAGGAATTGGGAGAGACGGATCTTAAGAATCTGGAGCAAGAGTCGGATGATACACCGATTGGAGATGAGCTGGACTGGAAGGCAGCTGCTCCGACGTCAGGATGATTGTATAGTACATGACATGGCATATAAACGGCGTTGGATTTGGACTGTATAGAGATGGATTGGATGTAACTTTATCATTAGAACAATGTATCACCACATTTGTACAATAGATGATGCGTCATGAAATACCATGGTAAATTCCCGCACGTGCCTATGTCTCAGACGAGTGTGCAACATGTTTGTCTGATGCCTCTGAGACATGCAGTGTGTGTAGGCACCTCAGAGTTAGGTAGCTAGGTAGTCTTTATTCGCCAAAAATGGTAGCCTGCAATTTCAGGCAGCAGCCTATGAATCGCCTTTGTCCTCCACTCGTAATAGACTTTTTCGTTTGTCCAATGAGCCAGATCATCTCCTTTAATTGTTGGTTGTTATTGTTTGTCCAAGCTGTAGCCAATCGAACCCCTCTCCTGGATTTCGAAATTCAGGGACCGTAGGGCTCCCGGGCTGCTCCACTTGTCGTCATTCAAGGCATTGACCCCTGTCAGCAGCCTATTTAGAGTGGGCATCTCAGCTGAGCGAGGCTCTCCACTTTCTTTCACGCTGACAACTCTAGCTCCAAGCTTCAATTTCAACTCTTCATTGCTCTGTAGGCAGTCTCTCGTACAGCAAAACCGTCTCTACAGTTATACCGTGCTTCAAGACAATCGCAATGGAGTCGTCCAGCGGTCTTCACCCCTCCTTCGCCAACAACGCCGTGCCATCTGCACCGTACGTCCGTCGAGCACCCAGCCCGCCATTCATTCACATCCCACCGACAGGACAATGCGGTGTCTCCGCTGCGCCCATCCTCCTCCCATCGTACGAACACGTCGATTCGAGTCAGTTGACGACCCACGATGTCAAGATCATCACACAGAACATGCAGCAGATCGCTACAGATCGCGCGGCAGATTGGTCCTACGAGCAGCGACGTGATGCCCAGAAGCTCGTGGACTTTTTGTACCTTGGTCCCAACAGCACCGCCAAGGATATCAAGCGGCTGCAGGAGGAGGGCATCACTATGATTGCGATAGCGAGGGATGCGCGCATGGCGGGGGTGAAGCTCATGAGTGTTGAGAAGGCTGCGAAAACGCTCGACATTGAGGTCCAATACATCGATCTGGAGGGCAACGATAAGCTGATCAGTTCGTTCCCCGACATTATCCGGCTGATCAACGACCATCTTCTATCCGTGTATCACAGCCAAGCCAAGGGTCGGAACAAGAACGGCGAACTGCTCGTTGATCCAAGCTCATTCCGCCGCGGCAAAGTCCTCCTCACGTGCGAGACGGGCAACGACAGATCAGCCGCCATCGCCGCAGCCTACATCATGGCAGTCTTTGGAAAGGACATGATCACCGCGGTTCAATTCATCAGCATTCAACGGTTCTGCTGCGCTTTCGACGAGGACACCAAGCGGAAGCTGCAGTGCTGGGAGGATATTCTGCGGGCGCGCTCGCAAGTCGCTATGGAGCAGGCTGTACCCCCTAACGCCGCACATACGAAGCGACATATTGACGATATGATGGACACGAGTGAGGATCCTAATGACAAGGGAGAGTTTGCGCTGGATCAGGATCGATTCAATGGACGTGGATCGTTTGCGCCGTTTGTGGATATGTAGAAATGAGGGTGGATTGAGTCGAGGTCGAGTAGAGGCATGGCGTTTTGGTCTGTTATAGATACCCTGTATATATATTGGCAAAGTCAGATTTTCATATCTGATGCATCTTAGCAATGGGATTGTTTGTTTTGTATTGTGTTTCTCCATGGTTTCAAAGATGCCGGGAGTTCTCGGTTGTGTTGCTTATAGAGCTAGAATTTAATCTCATAATATTGTCTAAGTGTGCGTTGTTCGACTTGCAATGGGTTACCGAAGAATGAAATGTACACTTGGGCTTAGCGCTGTAACCGCAGTTTTTGCAGCATCATTTGTGAGAAAATGAATGAATATAAACTGTTTGAGTGCTAAAGCTTAGTGAAGCCATGATCATGAGTGAATTGCGTATATGTACTCTTTCATCAACCTGGAAGCCGATAGTGTCTAAGGTTTGGCTGTATGTGCCTAACTGAGATTTCTTGTTGTCATAAATGAAGCAGCTATCACTTCTTTCATAAAAGATGAAAGAAACTGTTATCTCGAGTCGCTCACTGAAATATTATGAGCTGATCACTCACACTGTTAAAATGTGACTGGCGGCTGTAGACACCTGGCAGTGAGTGACAGACAATTGGACCTCGATGAGACAACCAGTTCTTGAATCATCGGAGTTCATAAACAAACAGGCGCGGATTATAAATTGTCACATGATTGCTAATTGTCTGTCTCGGTTGTTTTTTGGTCCCTGATTGTCTACATCTTCGCGTCCTTCATTCACACACTTCAACTCAACTCTATCTTATCCTCTTCTCACTCATTCTTGATACACACTTTGCTCTCATCGCTCACACAAAATGCTACAGAAATGATACTTGGATCTCAGACTTTTTTATCTTCGCTTTATTACTAACTTGCTTTCGACCTGGCAACCTCACGACGCGTCCTCAATACTCAACCTCGACACGACCATCATGGAGCATCTCAACAACACCACACCTCGGCCTCAGGAAAGACAATAGGATGATCTCTCTTGGGGCGTGAAGTGGATTATCCTCCGTGTCTTCAGCAACAATAACCGCTTCGCAAAAGTCACCAGTCTCATCTTGCATCTCAGCAACCAACAGGTCAAAGACTTTATGGAGACTTACCTCCGCGAATATTACAAGTGGCGGGTCTGGCAAGAGAGTGTTGAGAAGATACCTAATGCTGAACTGCTTGAATATGCTCTCGAGAAGAGACAGACTGTCGCAGAGCTTCTACGTGAATATCGCCCTCTTCTCTGCACTGACAATGTTCCAGACCAAGACAAACAAAAAGGCGTCGAGTTTCTGCAGGGACTCAAGATCGCTGGTGTAGTTGAAGAGTTTTTGGAATATACAGAGAATGGCCTGCTTGACTTTCTTCGACTAGATATAGAGTGGGAGATCCTCCAGGATGCTATCGACAAACAGCAGATGCTGGGTTCGTTGGAACTTGGGTGGCTTGACCCTGAGAAAGTCGAACTACTCATGGCTCATTTTTCCACTCCTGAACCACCCACGGGCCCCTTACGGTATCCTGAGATGGGAGATCCATTCTTGGGTACTGTTAAGAGAAGACTTGAACCTCCACCAGCTGATGCCCCAGACGAAGACGTTACAATGAAAGATGACGGCTACGATTCGGATGCGACACACGATGTAACTGAAGATAAGAATGAGAACGACAAGCCACGAGATAAAGGAAAACAGCCTGCAGGCCATGAACAACATGATGAACAAGCTGCCAAAGATGCTCAACTCCGCCCCCTGACGTCCCTCATCCCAGGACCGCTTGGTGAAGTGCCTCTCCCGTATCAGCGAAACATCTTACAAATGGTCTCTCAGAGATATTACCACGAAGCTTACACCCATTTGCAAGGAAGAACAGTGTCTACTCTTGTAGAGGAAGAAAGAACACCGCACCCGCCAGCCTCGGCGTATTGTCCTACAGGGTTTCACTACCTAGCAAAGCAAAAGCAGGTCCGTGGGCTTATTGGGCCTGAAGGTGGAAGGAGATCTATGCATCGAGGTGATGTTGAGCATGGAGAGGGGTCTGCGAGACAGGAGGCGGGAGGGAGTGCTTCACTAACAGCTGGAAGGGTCCCTGGTGCGCCTCGGCTTTCTCGACGGGGCTTGGAGGCTCAGACAGTTTTGACATCTCATTTTGAGGATGCGTTTCTGAATGACCCAAGATACGACTACATCATGAATCAGCGCCAGAAGCCGGTGTATTTGGAAGAGGTCCCAGAGCATGACGTGGAACAAGAAGAACAGCATCCAGCCTTTACTCCCGCCCCTGACGAAGAACCTTTATCATTCATCCAAGCAAGTGGTTCAACACTCCAACCCAATCAATACTCTGCACCCACCATCCTAGGCCGAACAGTTCCTATCGACGACTCCACGCCATCTCAGCAACTTCGGCGGATACTCGACGCCAACTGGTCCGGCTTTCTCAAAAAGAAGGGAAGCAAATCAACAGCAAACTCAGTTACACGACAGAGCGGGGCATCCCAAGACATCGAGAGCGAGATAGAAGCTGATCCCATGACCATGCCGATTGATGTCCCCGAGCCAGAGAATGATGGTGATTACAACCCGAAGAAGAGAACGCCCAAGAAGGCTGGGCGAGGGAGACCGAGAAAGGCTAGTCTCAAGAAGAGGGAGAGTGAGGGGAGGATCTAGTGGGCGTTGAGGTTGGCAGTGAGGAAATGTTGCTTAGATTGGAGGCGATGGTTCACAGCTGGTTAGATAAGCGGGACTTGGATTATGTACTTTGGGGTGCCAGTGATTTGGCCTATTTTGCTTTTACTCAGGGGGGCCGTCACTTGGTGATTGCATAGCTCTGTTCAAAAATGAAATGAAATGAATTGGTCATCTATATATGTTGTGTAACAAAACTCCGGACCCAGACGGTATACAGGTCTAAACTCATCAAAAACTCCCCCAAGAATGCAAAACAGACCCCTGAACTTGGCCTAACTTTTAAAACCCCTTCTAAATTTAGGGTCTTCATCCTAAACTTTTCAAATCTCCTCTAAGGTTCCACAAAATCATCTAGTTCGTTAAACTCATCTAGTTCCACAAACTCATCTGGTAACCCTGGCTGCTGCATTAACCAAGGTTGAGGGGCGGCCGAATGATACTGCCCCAGTCCGTTGTATATCCCCAGACCTATAGAGTAATTGGGGGCCTGGGGAGCGGAAGGGAGAGGTGGAGAGGGAGTCGGAACCCGGGCGGAAGCGGGAGCGGGAGGAAAAGCCGGAGCAAACGCCGGAGGAAACGCCGGAGCGGGAGGGGGAGCGAGATGAGAAGCAGGAGGAGGAGCAGCAGGGGGGACAGAAGAAGGTTGCTGGTACAGGGGACCAGCAACCTGAGAATATTGACCCGGGGCTGGAGGGTAAAGCCCCGGGGCTGCCTGTGACGGATTCTGGCCGTAAGGTTGACCAGGAGGTCCGTAAACAGGCGGAGGTAACAGAGCAAGGGCGGCCATTTCAGAGGCCTCCCTAGCTTCCTTCGCCGCTATCCGTTGCCTCAGCATCGCCATCCCCTCTTGGTCCATTTGCTGCATCAGCTTGTTTGGAGTGAGCCGCTTTGGCGGCTTGGCGGCGCGCTTGGAGACACGCTTGGTGGCTGTCACCCTCTTGATGGCAGCCCGGGACTGCTTGGGCTTGGATGCCTCCTCAAGTTCAAGAGACACGCTCTTGAGGGCCTCGTTGGCGGCCGCGGCTGGGTCGAACTGAGACTCCTGGGGCTGCGGCATTGTGTTGTCTTCCTTGGGGAAGACAGTTTTTGCCGCAGCCGAAGGAGCAACAGCGGGAAGAGCCAAGGGCTTGTTGCCATTGACGTTGGGGGAGGAGGAAGAGGAGGGGGAAGAGGAAGAGGACGGGGAGAGGGGAGTGGATGGGGGTGTACCCCAGAGCTCTCGATCCTCAGGAGGCGGAGAACACGAAGCGGCGTGATCTTGCTCTGTGTTCTGAGCAAGATGATCTTGGACAGCCTGGTGAGGCTGGCTGTCCTGCTCGAGGTCCAAGGGTGAAGAGGGTGTCGACATCTTAAAGATAATTAAAGAGAAAAGCAGTAGAAGTTGTTCAAGTATTAATATACTTGTCAGTATAAAAGTGATGTGTGGAAGAGTATTGAGAGGAGAGATGAACTTGAAGATACGAACAGAGAAGAAGAAGAGCCTGCCGAGAAGGGTGATATTTATAGTCTTTGGGACAAAATCATTCAGGTGTAGCCCTAAGATAGTGTTTTCGACTGTGAGGCTGTTCATTAAGCACTGCTGGTAAAGATGAAAGCACATTGGACGGCAGAATTTGTGATGCTACTGTTAACCTTCAAAAAGATGAAGGCAACCATTCACACAGAATTCTCCTGGTGAGAAGAGCGAAGAGCACGGACATGGGGGTCACCAGCATCAGGCTGGACACCCAAGAACCATCATCTATTCGTCCAAGCTGAAAACTCTTTGGTTGAGTCACTCAAAGTAGCACCGAGAAGAAGAACGCGTGATGAAGTATATTAAGGGGTAGTCTGAAGGTTCATAAGATATTCGTACATACAAAGCTTTTGCCTCGAGCCGTAAGAGCGAATGAACCAGAGAGTGTGAAACCAAGTATAAGGGGAGGCAAGTGAAGATTATCTTCTATTCGTTCAAGCTGAAAACTCTTGAGCTGAACTCTACGATTGAGTCACCAACAGAAATATTAAGAGGGCAGAGCTAGCATAGCCGAATGTATGGAGGTGTCTTCTGATGGTACATTGGTACTGAGACGCCTCAAGCCCTTGCCTTGAGCCATAAGAGCGAATGGGGCAGAGAGAGGCTACGTGAGTGAGTTATTTGATTTTGGGATATACTCTGTGCTGAAATCTCTTACATCAAGAAAAGTAAGAAAATGAGTCAAACACAGGGCAAAGAGTCTCTTGTATGAGGCTCATGTGCCAATGATGGCAGGCTTTAACCCCTCCTGAAGATCACAGAGGTTAGTGCCTTCCATCAGTAATTCATTTGATAAAACACGGGCATTGATGCGAAAAAAAAGACCTACAGAGATACACCATCATGAGGAAACATACCAAAGTCTTGTGGAAGTGAACGGAAAACAGAATAAATCGACAGGGATCGATTCAACAAGCCATCAAGTGAGGCACCACCGAGGTGTGGTTCAGCTGTAGTCGTGATATTGAGAAAACCTAGGCATTGACATCTGAAACAATCCGATATAAGCTCAAGGCCGGGGCAACGAATCAGGGCTGTTTATTTGGGTTTGAAGTACTATAAACTTCCTGTCTAGTTTTCCAAACGAATTGAACTTTTGCGCTGCTGAACCTTCATTGTGTCATTGCCTAGTTCGCTATCACCATACCCCTAGGGACGTAACTCTGCGAGGTCAGTGTCAGACAGAATGCACCGAATGGTCTGGAATTTCCTGCTGAGTTGAAAATCATTTTGGTTTGAGCACATTAGGGACCACGAGATGGTTCGACGGGCTTCCTTGAGACCATGGCTTCTCTGTGAACAATTGGCTTGCTCAACACATGCGATTCTAACCTTAACCTTGGCTGATCAGGCCTCAGGCAGCAGTGTCTGGAGAAGGTGAATGGTACGTACCTAGAGACCAGAAGCACAGTTGAATGAGGCCTTGTAGACATTCCGAGGAAATGGTGTGAAGAAATTGGGGGAAGTTGAGATGATTTATAGCGCGATATCTCGGCCATGGTTCTCGTATTACATGAAGTGTAGTTGATATGCGGCTCAACGATGAACGCCATGAGGCCGGTACAAATGTGGCACCCGCATTCGGTACCAAACCTACTCGATACCCTCATAAAGCTGCTTAGAACGATCGCGATACTTGAGTTGTGCTTAGAGTGATTGATACTGCGAAATAGTGTCTGTGTGCGTCTTGTTCTTGTTTGCCTGGTGTTTGCTCTAGGATTGTTGCTAGTTAGAGATTAATATAAACGAGAATGGTGTGACCCGTGATTGAGATTGTTGCAGCCTCTTGCTGTTACACTAATGCAAGAATCCGCCCAAACAACATCCCTCAGTAGCGTCCACCTCAAGGCACCTGCCACCTCGACAATCATTTCCTTGTCTCCCATTCTCTCATTTAATCGCCGTAATCATCAGGATAAAGGGCCTATTCTATTCCTTTGATCGCCCTCGCTATGCGAATGTTTACAGCATCTGTATCTTCACCCTTCAGCAGTAAATAATCCACTCCTCAACATGTCGGACCACGAGTACATCGACACTGATGACGAAGACGATCGATATCGCCTGATCGTGAACCCGTCAAAGCCTCGAAAGATTACGGAAAAGAAGCTCCGAGACCAGGCTGCTCTACAGGCGCACATAGAAAAGACACAGAGAGATGCCGCGAGGAGTGCCGTTCCTTTCAGCGATCCCAGTAAACAGTCCCTCGCCCAGCTCATGAACCAGTACGAGGGCCACAAGATCATCGCGTCGCCTCGAGAATACCAGATTGAACTGTTTGAGCGCGCTAAAGAGAGAAACCTCCTCGTGGTATTGCCTACAGGTATGTTTCCGTTACCCATCTGGAGTTTGCTGACAGCCCAGGTACCGGCAAAACACTCATCTCGGCCTTGCTGCTACGACATCACCTCGAACAAGAGTTGGAAGCTCGAGCCATCGGGAAGCCCAAGAAAGTCGCCTTTTTCCTTGTCGAAAAGGTCGCCCTCTGTGTTCAGCAACATGCAGTCCTCAGCTGCAACCTCGGAGCCCACCCAGTCACCAAGTTCGTGGGCCATATGAAAGGCATGACAAAGACTAAAGAATACTGGGATGAGAAGTTTGGCGAAAACATGGTGGTAGTCTGCACTGCCCAGATTCTCCTCGACTGCCTGACTTGCGGCTTCATCACCATGTCCCGAATAAACCTCCTCATCTTCGATGAAGCACACCACACGAAGAAGAAGCACCCGTACGCTCGTATCATGGACGGGTATTATTACAAACACGAAGGCGAAAAGCCTCGCATACTGGGAATGACTGCTTCACCGGTGGACGCGCGAACCAGGGACGTGAAAGACACGGCCTTGGAGCTTGAGAGGTCTCTTGACAGCCAGATTGCCACGATTTCAGATGAGGTGCTGATGGAAACCATGCATCGAAAGAAGCAAACCGAAGAAACTGTCAACTACAGCAGGCTTGAAGCTCCTGATGATACAAAGACGCACCTGTGGGACCAGATCTTTGCCTTGGTCTCTCGCAACGAACAGTTCAAGTTGTCGCTCGAATTCACAAAAGAGGCCTCGTCAGTCCTCGGCACTTGGTGCGCCGACCGTTATTGGGAGCTTGCAATGACCGATCTCGAGACTGAGCGGCTCGCAGCCAGAACTAGTCGGGAATTTATTGGAGACATTGCAGTAACGAGAGCAGATCAAGCAACAGAGGCCGTCCGGCGTGTCCAGGAAATTGTTCGGGCTCACAAGTTTGGTGCGGTCGACCCAAAGGCTGAGGGTCTCTCGGCCAAAGTCAAGAGTCTTCACGAGATCCTGGTGCACGCTTTCACAATGGACGGCACCAAGCGTTGCATTGTTTTTGTTGAGAAGAGATACACGGCCCGTTTACTGTCTGATCTCTATAGCCAACCTTTCATGAGGATCCCAGGAATGTCTGCTGCATACATGGTAAGTAGTAGCCTTTCCCATTTGACTTTGCTAACAATTACAGGTTGGCTGTCAATCCATCAATTCGAGCTTCGGCACCATGTCGTTTCGAGACCAAGTCCTGGCTCTCCACGAATTCAAGCGCGGCAACACCAACTGCCTTTTCACAACCCCGGTTGCAGAAGAGGGCATCGATGTGCCAGATTGCGACCTTGTGATTCGTTTCGATCTCTACAACTCCGTCATCCAATACCTGCAATCCAAAGGACGCGCCCGACAAGCACGTTCTCGATACATCACAATGATGGAGCAGGGTAATTTGACGCATATTCGAAGTGCGAAACAAGCATTGAGGGACTCACAAGCCCTGGAGAAGTTCTGCCTCTCTCTTTCAGCTGACCGAAAACTTCACGATGATTTGATAGAGGAGGACATGGAGATGATGGTTGAGCGCATGCAGCATCAAGTACACGAGATACCCTCGACAGGTGCACGCCTTACGTTTCCTGCCAGTCTCGAAATTCTGGCCAGATTTGCTTCTCACTTGTCAACTGATAGCTACGCCAAAGTTGAATATCAGGTACAAAAGGTTGGCGATCGATACCTGGCTGACGTGGTAATGCCATCCCAGTCTCCGGTCAATTTTGTCAAGGGTACGCAACAGCGTAGCAAATTGATGGCCAAGTGCTCTGCAGCATTCGAAGCCTGCAAGATCCTGATCAGAGACAAGCATGTTGACGGCAATCTTCAGCCGACATTCAAGAAAAAGGTCCACGCTATGCGAAACGCACGGCTCGCTGTGAGTTCAAACAAGAAGGCTGACTACGACATGCGATTACGGCCAGAGATTTGGGCTGAGCGAGGAGAGTGGGCTGAATGCTTTGCGACTGCAATCACCATCAAGGACGGGGGCGCCCTTAGTAAGGCTATGGCCGGAAGGTCGTTGATACTTCTGTCGCGCAAGCCAATGCCGAAACTGCCAGGTGTTCCTCTATTTTTCGGCAATGGACATTCTTCTATCGCCGAATTGACACCTATGCAGGAGGCTCTTCAACTCGACCCCAAAGAAGCGGACGGATTGACCAAGTTCACACATCGTGTATTCGCCGATGTGTTCAGCAAAGAATACGATACCACGTCCGACCAATACCCATACCTCCTCGCACCTTGCGCCGAAAATCCTCAGTCGGATACTCGATCGCATATTGACTGGGATGTTGTCAATATTGTGAGGGAGAACGAGGTACTGGAATGGGAGAATGCGCCAGAAGACTTCTTAGTTAACAAGCTTGTGACTGATCCATATGATGGAGGGCGTAAGCTTGTCATCAAAGGTATCGACAAAACGAAGAGGCCATCTGATCCCACACCCGAAGGAGTCCCCGAATCAAGAAGCAGAGCTTATAGGTTTGTGGA